TACTCCCAAATGGTGCAGACACACCCACCACCAAATGGTGCAGACACTCCCACCACCACCAAATGGTACACACATCCACCACAAAGTGGTGCGCACACTCACACCACCAAATTGTGCAGACACTCCCACCACCAAATGGTGCAGACACTCCCACCCACAAATGCTGCAGACACTCCCACCACCAAATGCTGCAGACATCAACCACCAAATGGTGCACACACTCACACCACCAAATTGTGCAGACACTCCCACTACCAAATGATGCAGACACTCCCACCACCAAATGGTGCAGACACTCCCATCACCAAATGGTGTAGACACTCCACCACCACCAAATGCTGCAGACATCAACCACCAAATGGTGCGCACACTCACACCACCAAATTGTGCAGACACTCCCACCACCAAATGGTGCAGACACTCCCACCCACAAATGCTGCAGACACTCCCACCACCAAATGCTGCAGACATCAACCACCAAATGGTGCACACACTCACACCACCAAATTGTGCAGACACTCCTACTCCCAAATGGTGCAGACACTCCCACTACCAAATGATGCAGACACTCCCACCACCAAATGGTGCAGACACTCCCATCACCAAATGGTGTAGACACTCCACCACCACCAAATGCTGCAGACATCAACCACCAAATGGTGCGCACACTCACACCACCAAATTGTGCAGACACTCCCACCACCAAATGGTGCAGACACTCCCACCCACAAATGCTGCAGACACTCCCACCACCAAATGCTGCAGACATCAACCACCAAATGGTGCACACACTCACACCACCAAATTGTGCAGACACTCCCACCACCAAATTGTGCAGACACTCCCACCACCACCAAATGCTGCAGACATCAACCACCAAATGGTGCAGACACTGCAACCACCAAATGGTGTAAACACTCCCACCACCAAATGGTGGAGACATCAACCACCAAATGGTGTAAACACACCCACCACCAAATGGTGCAGACACACCCACCACCATACACCCACCACCAAATGATGCAGATACATCCCCCACAAAGTGGTGCAGACACTCCCACCACCAAATTGTGCAGATACACCCACCATCAAATGATGCAGACACATCCACCACAAAGTGGTGCAGACACATCCACCACCAAATTGTGCAGATATACCCACCACCAAATGGTGCAGACACATCCACCACCAAATGGTGCAGACACATCCACCACCAAATGGTGTAGACACTCCTGCCACCACCAAA